ACCAGGTCCAGCAGGGCATTCCCCCTAGTAGGACTGTGCACCTCTTGGGTTAAGTGGAGGTCCTGTATCTCAGCCAGGAACCTCCATGAGCAGGCAGACCTGGCTGACTACTCCTCCCAGCAGAGGTTCGGGTAATTTAGATCACCCATGACAACTATATCCCTTGCCTTAAGTGCCTCCATATGCTGACCCAAGAATTCGCGGTCCAGCTTTTCACCTTGGTTGGGTGGTCTGTAGTAGACCCCCACTGTTAAGTCCCTTTCCCACGACCCCCCTGTATCCTGACCCAGAGCACTTCAGCCTGTCCGTCCTCTGACCCCATCCTGCTGGTTGAGGATGTGTATTGCTCTTTGATGTAGAGTGCCACACCCCCACCTTTCCTTCCTGTTCTATCCTGCCTGTATAGCCTATAGCCTTTAATGTTGATCGCCCAGTCGTGGGATGAATCCCACCAGGTTTGTGTGAGCCCTACTATGTCCAGGGATGTGCGTAGGGAGGGAGCTGCCTCCCGCCCCACGGACGAGCCACTCGCAGCTCCATCCCACACCCTGCCCTGCCGCAGCTGAACAGCGCCTGCCCCAGCCCCATTCCCTTCCTCACCCTGGGGGTCTCGATCTGCGCCCCCCCCATGCCCCTTCCCCCACACCAGACTTACCAGCCAGATACTGGTCTCCAAGCGGCCAGGATGTGCTCCTGGCCCCGTGCATGGTGCAGCTGTGCACATTCATGGGGCATTTATCTGCTACATTATTGGCCACATCAGGCAAAAAAAACCCCAAACATTTCCAATACATTCAATTTTCCCTATATCGGTGCCGATCCAATATGGGACCGATGTATCGGTGCACCTGTACTAGGAACTTCAGGGGAAGCCACCATTGCAATGTTTGTGAAATCCAGTTCCTGCTATTTACAAGGGCACGTTTCAGGGATGGGCTCTTAGAGATACATGGAGAGAAAATATCACAGCCACTCCTGGAACACAGGCAAAACTATACAGAGGGTTTGTAGCCATGGCTGAATGAACTTGCAGGGTCAGGACTCCAGTAAAACAGGCTGAGAGATGGATGAAAACCAACAGGATGCCTGGAGAATAAGATGACAAAGGCCACTGAAACTGAACAGCCCAGGGCCTGGTTTTCTAGGATTCTGCTTGTATTGTTCAGATCAGTATGATGCAAATGTAGAACAGCATCAGCTGGGTGCAGTGCAATGTTACAGTCACAGTTTGTGCTAGTATAGAAAGGAATCTGGCCCAGGGATGACAGAGCACCAAGGAGTAGCACCAAGGCATGAGAGCTGCTAAACACTTGAATTTGGTATTGAAACGGATGTGAAATACAGACACTCAGGGCTCTATTTGCCAAACCCCAAAGGTCACTGTATGGAAGCCAAGGGAAGCACAATTAAAATTGGTACATTTGCAGAACCCAGCTTTTGGTTTAGAAAAATATTTCCCCTCCATTATCCTGCATTTGGGCTCAAGCCAGGTTTCCTACCTGCTCCCCACCTCCTCTGCCAAACTTCATTCACTGCCTGATCTGAACATGTGATGTTTCCAATGAGTCGCTTGGCTCCAAATACCAGCAGAATTCTGAAAAGAGGGATACAGGTGGGGAGGGGCATCATCACATATACCACAATGCATAGGTTTTTTCCAGGTACCATGAATGAGGGGCTTTACTGACATGCTGGGGGCCTCGGGATGGATTATCCAGTTTAACATGGAAGCCAAAACACAAAGAAGCTGGAACCAACTCAAAACAATCTTCAGGGCTGGGAAACAAGAGCTTCCTGACAATGAGCAGCTAACAGAGCACAACTGTCTGCAGGACAAAGGGTGCCTTGATTGGTGGAGCATCAAGACCAGTAAAAAGGAGAAGCTCGCTAAGGAACAAAGAGTTTGGAAGGGATCAGGCGAAGTCTATTGAGCCCTGAAGTCAACGGACTCCTTCAGCGCTGCCTGACTAGCCATGGTGCTGCCACTCCCGGGCAATTTAAGCTTTGGCTGGATCCGCCCCTGGTCTCCCGTGTCTCCCATCCGCAGGATCACACACCACAGAAAAGCAGGGCTGGAAGCGACCTCGCAAGGCCTAGCCCAGGCCCTGCTCACGGCAGGTGCATCCTTAACTAAACCAGCCGCCCCTGCCCAGCCTGCTCTCGAGCGTGTCGCAGGGCGGGGCTGTGGGACGCGGAGCAGGTGCAGGCGGCGCGGCGAGACCTCTGGAGCCCACCGCTGCCCCCCCGCGCGGGCGGGACTACGCTCCCCAGCCTGCAGCGCGCGGGGCCGGTCCGCCGGGACCACGTGAGGCTCCAGCGGCTGCTGAAAGAGCCGGCGCCGGCGCGGGAGGTAGGAGGCTGTTGTGGGGATTTGGCCCCGGCTTCGCCCTGACCATCGGCGGAGCCCTGCAGCCCCGGGGTATCAGGGGCACTGGTCCCAGAGGTGCTGCAGTCAATGCTCGCCCTGCTCTCCCCGGGCCGCAGGGTCCCAGCTCCGCGGGGCGCGCGCGGCTGGCGAAGGGGCAGGGCCGCTGGCAGGGGGTGTCCCGGGCAGCAGCAGGCCTGCCTGGGCGGGGGTGAAGGGCCTTGCGCTCCCCCTCGGCCGGGCTGTGTCCTCTCGCCCAGCTCAGCCCAGCGAGGGCCCCGGGGCGGAGTCCTGGGCTAAGGGCAGGCCCGTGACGGCGGCTGCTCTCGGGGATCCTTTGCTGAGGCGAGGCCCACGGTGCCTCTGGCCTGGCTCCCAGCCTGAGGAGTGGTTCTACCCTTCTTTGGACCAGGACCCATTTGTAAACATCAATGACCAGTCCTGACCTAGTGGCCCTCACTCCTTTAAAGGAGAATCCATTTCTGAAGTCTGTTGATAACCCTTTCATACATTCTTGCAACCCACCTTTGGGTCACACCCCACAGGTTGAGAAGTGCTAAGAGACCAATGCAGCGTGCCTCAGAGAGAGGGCTGAGCCCATCTAGTGCACCAGGCAGGCTAAGCCATGTTCTGTTTAAGGATTTCCCAGGCTTCAGGGCTCTTGTGCCCTATTTCTGCTACATGTATCAGGGTGATCTTTTAAGTTTTCCTCAGAGGCATTGGGTGTTGGTGGCAGCCAAGCCTGGGGTCTTGTGCCAGCGCTCCTGCGGGGACCAAACCTGGAAGTTCCTGGCTACAGGGGCTTGTCCTTCTGCTTAGGGTCTGACCAATTGCCAGATTTGGAGTCAGGAAAGAATTCTACCCTATGGTCGGATTGGTACAGACCATGGGGGCTTTTGCCTTCCTGTCATGAGGGTTATGGCCCAGCATACTCAGCATCTCTTGAGCATTTATTGATGACATTTCATAGAAGTAGGATGTTGGCTGCCACAGTTCTGCTTTACTTGTGGCAGGTTAGGGGGTTAGGTCTATGTCATATCAGGGTTGATGGTTGTCTGATGTAGAGTTTAGATTATGGTTTGTACGGGATGGTTTGGATAGGGATGATCCTACTTCACGCAGGGGGCTGGACTAGATGACCTCTGTAGGTCCCTTCCAGCCCAAATTCTATAGGATGCTGTGAGTTTAGACTGCACCAGATGCTGTACTTTGAGGGTTTATATCACACACAACTAGTGTGGTTGAGATGGAGAACATGTTCCCTTACCATCATGATCCTCCCATCTGTTAGCATGGCCTCTATAGTGCTCAGAGTTCAGGTGTCCACCCAGGGCTTTTATACAGTTTAGCTTACCTGAGCATTCCTGTCTGTAACCAATCACCTGGCTCAGACATGATGTCTCCTCTGAAGAATTGGGAGCCATTAGCAGGGTGAGTGGAGACACACTTCCAGCCTGTTTATTTGATGACTGTGCTCTATTTTCTTTAATCCTGTGTTGTAATGCTGATGGTGTACAGTTAAATTCTCTTACTGGGTTGCACTTGGAGTTGGGCCCTGGATTTAGGCCTGTTAATGCTTTGGGTTGAGTTGATGATGCACAATAGAGTAAACCTCAATCTACTCCCTCATTTCTTTGTTTTCCCTTTTCCAGATCAGAATTAAAACAAGCTTAATTAGATGTGTGCACCATAGAGCTGTCTCTGGCACCACTTGGTGTCATTACTGCCTTGAGGTGGAAGGAGTAGAGTATCAATGATGTCTTACCTTAGAACAGTGGTTTTCAACCTTTTTTCATTTGTGGACCCCTAAAAACTTTTCAGCGGAGGGGCAGACCCCTTTGGAAATTTCAAATGGAGTTGTGGACCCTAGTGAATTGTAAGTGTGGGTATTCACATACTTTTGATTGATCATGATAATCGTTTGCAGATCTCTTGGATGTAGTCTGCAGACTCCCGGGGTCTGAGGACCACAGGTTGAAAGCCACTGCCTTAGAGAATTAACCTAGGAGTTGTGCATAGCAAGACAGATGAGGACATCAACCTGAAGTTCCTTGTGAAGCTCTACCTCTTCCTGTAATGAGGAAACACAGTCTAGCTTTATAATTTGGGGAACCTGTCCACACTGTGAGTGTATGAGGTGTTTCTGAATAGCTGTCTAAATATCTGGATGTTAACCTTTAGGATTAAAAATTGTGTGTGAGAGTTTGGATTTATGCCTTTTTGCTTAGCAATTATTTTTCCCTCTTTTTAACCTTCGGGAATTCCCTTCTTTCACATTTTTTTGGAAATCACTTGGGAAGACCCACAGCACTGGAATGTATACGTGTGCTAGTCTGTGAGTCAGGGGTTGAGAAGTTAATTTTCTCACAGAGATATCTTTCCTCTCAGCTGCTTGTCAAGAATTTGATTTAAAGATATTAACAAAATCCACAAAGACTCATACAGCTCCCACACCACTACTTCTCATTTTTTTAAATCAAGTTTTGCTTTCATGATGCTTTCAGTGGAAGAGTGTCTGAGAAAAACAGGAAAGAGAAGGCCTGTCTTTTAAGGGTAGAGGACCAAGGAAATCTTCTCACCTCCTCTGTTTTCTCTTTCTTTTTTGGGTGTCCCTTTTAAGCATTGATTATAGTTCATAGTAGCCTCTGGCAATGGTTCCCAACAGGGGTGTGGCTTTGAATGTCTCCTGTGGAGGAAGATCAGGAAACACCTGTGGCTGAGGAGCTGTGGGATTGGACCAGGAAGGGCTGTGGTAAGTGTGAACTCCAGCCACAGCCTTTTGCACTGCCTGGCTGGAAGGATCAGCCTGGGCTGTGGAGCTGGCACTTACACTGTCCAACTGGGGAAGCTGGGTGTGGTGACACCTGGGGCAGGCAAGACCATCCTCCCCCCACCAAAAAAAAACCCTCCTTACCACAGGGGTCAGAGGAGTTTTTCCCAGAGCACAGAACTCCTTAGTTACCCTGCACCTGCCCGCTTTAGGTTTATCAGAATATCCTAATACTGGCAGGAGCATGCTGCAGCACCATAGTTGAGAAGCATGAAGATGAGCAGAGGCAGCACAACAGTGGTTCTCAACCAGGGTGCAACCAGACTCAAAGAATTCATGGAGGGTGCCCTGACTCTAGAAAGGCTGAAAACACCTGGTTTGTTGGATAGTTTTATTAGATGTGTATCTGAGCCACAGAAGTCAGGACTTTTTATAAAACCTGGCTGATTTTTAGTGTTGGAGAAGAGAGTCACTTGTTATAAGCTCCAACTATTTGAAGAGGCCTATGTGTTATTTTTATAGCAGTTCTTTAAATTATGGTCTTTCATGCTTGTTCTTATCCCAGAGGTGTTTTGGTCAGGTTTTCTGAGATAGGTATGGGAATCTGTTGTTTGTTTCACCAGATAAGAAGTGTCCCCTCTGGTCTGACTGGTCATTCCAACTTCAAGTTTTTCCCTGAACTTTGCCCCACAGGAGCAGGCGAACTCTTGCAGCAGTTGCAGAAATTTGGGCTGGAAATAAGGAAGCTGATTTCGAAATGCAGTCTTGTTTGTGTCAGCATCAGGTCTGTGATAAGGCACCAACTGCAAAGCCTTGGAGACTGAAACTGTTAATCCACAAAATAATTGCAGTGCAAGCTGTCTCCTGTGTTCATGGTGCCTCAGCACTGACTGACAGTCTTCTCCCTCTGTCAGTTCAATCTACTAGGACAACTCTTGTGGCTTGCACAACATGGACTTCTGGGACCTGAGCTGAGACCCACTAGACTTGTCTCACATAAGCCAGTTATAGCAGTGCTGGGTTTCTTGGCTCAGGCAGCAGAAGCTCCTACTTTAAGATCCAGTGGTCCCAGGTTTGTTCCCTGCTGCTGACTGCCCACCCATGGGTGTAGTGCAGAAGTTGCCAACCACCCGGCTGTGAAGGGTTGGCTGCCGGGTTGTGGCATCAGCTTTAGGCGGCAACAGCTCTGCCTTCATCTCAGCTCCCCAGGTCCGTGCTGCCGCCAGCTGCATCCCCCCGCCTGGCCCAGCCCAGCCCTGCGGCCCCTCACTACTGCTGGTTCATGGTATAAAAAAGGTTGGGAATCACTGGTGTAGTGTTCCATTTTAGTGAAGGGTGTAGTTGCGTAGAGGCTGATGGAGTACTAGGGCAGTCTGGGTCTTGGGGCCAGCTCTGCCTGGCATGACTTCCATATGCACTAGGTAGTGATGCTCTCCCCTTTGTCCTCTTCTAGGTGCAGTGAAGTGGTCTGTGCCTGGTGCCCCCTAGATGGTGCCGATAACAGGAGAATGAACCTGACTGCCTTGTAACGCCTGAGATGCTGGACCCTGATTGGAGTCAGCAGTGTGGAGTGGTGCTTGTTCTGACTGCAGGCTTGGCACAGTGCTGAAGAGACACAGAAGGGTGTTAGTGCTGTGCTGGTTGGCCACTGCACAGCAAGGGAAATGGCTCAGTACAATGTGGGGATCAACAGCGAGTTCAGAGATTGGGAGTGGAGTGCAGATGCTGGGGAGCGGGCAAGGCTGCTGCAGAGCCCCAGTGTGGAGACTGTGCCCAAAAGCAGTGAGGGGCAGGAACATGGCACAGGGGCCACCTCTACCCTGGGAGCCATCTTCATTGTGGTGAACGCTGCTCTGGGGGCCGGGTTGCTCAACTTTCCTGCGGCCTTCAGCACAGCAGGCGGAGTGGCAGCAGGGATCACGCTGCAGATGGTGAGAGGAGCTGCATGGGGGCATATGGGCACCTCTACAATAAAGAGACTGGATCATGTGGGAGACACGTTAGAATATGGTCTTTCTTACCAGCCCTGGGCCCTGTCATGGTGCCTCAGCCTGGGAGGGATGGGTGACAGGGGCTCTGGTATCTAGCACTCTGACTGTTCCTGTCTTCCCCCAGTGCATGCTGGTTTTCATCATTGGAGGCCTGGTCATCCTGGCCTACTGCTCACAGGCCAGCAATGAGCGGACATACCAGGAGGTGGTGTGGGCTGTGTGTGGCAAGGTCACTGGTGTGCTCTGTGAGGTTGCCATTGCTGTCTATACCTTTGGCACCTGCATTGCCTTCCTTATCATCATCGGGGACCAGCAGGACAAGAGTAAGTGCCTGGGGCTTGCTGTGCCTGTCTCTGGGAATGGGGTCCTTGTGAGTGAGAATGAGAGGGCTTGTATCCCCTCATAGTAGCTGGGCCCTGCTGTCCCTGAGGACTGGGCTCAGGAGATGTCTCAGCATTGGTCTGTGTCTCCACTTGCCTGAGGGTGCACAGAATTGATTTTTGTGGCCCATCTCAACCACCATGAAAGCTCACAGTAGATGAATCAGTGATGGGCCCCAGGAGTTTACATTTCCTGTCCAAGCTGCTTTTCTTCCACCAAGCCCAGCCTGGACTGAGATCTCCTTTCCCTGCCCTCTAGACACAAAGAAGATGGTCCACACAACTTGGCATTGTGCTTAGCTGTTCCCTGACTGCTTGATTCTGTCCTTGTCTCCTCACCTAGTCGTTGCTGCATTGGTGACGGATCCAGAGGGGGCAGACAGTAGCCACTGGTACACAGATCGCAAGTTCACCATCAGCATCACTGCCTTCCTGCTGATTCTGCCCCTCTCCATCCCAAAGGAGATTGGCTTCCAGAAATATGCCAGGTGGGTGGGGAGAGCTAGACTAGGATTGATGTATGAGAGGACGCAAAGGGAATAAGAACCAGGTGTGTCAGACTTGGAGCCTGTGACCAGCATGTCCAGCAGTGCTCTCAGAGGAAGTGATCTAATGAGTAGGGCACTGACTTGGAACTGGGGAGAGCAGGGTTCTGTTCCCAGCCTTGATAGTAACTTATGTGACCTTGGGCTGATCCCTTCTCCTCTGCCTTACTTTCCTCACTTGTAAAATGGGGACATTAAAGTGCTTTGAGATCCTTAGATGAAAAGTACTGAATAACTTCTTTTTCTGGAGCAGTATTCCTCCAGATGTTCCTCTGTCCAGCTTACAGATTGAGGGCTGTAGCTTTCAAGTGCCTTGTGATATTTCTGGAGATGAAGACAGTCCAATAGGAAAAAGGACAAGGAGGAATCCTAAAACATTAGTAATCTCTTAGTCCTGTCACTGTCTAAAGAGTTGATGAAAGGAGTATTGATATATACTGGTGAGCTAACTGCCTCTCTGTCAGAACAGGGCTAGACACTAGAGATACTCCAGCTAGGAGAAGTGGTCTGCCTAGACACACTGCCACCAGTGCAGCTGGACTGGTGGTCATTGTCATTGGAGACTTAAAGTGATAACGGCCATAGTGAGAAAATTAGATGGATCATTGTGTGGTATTGGAACTGTAGTAATTTCCTTCAGGTCCTAGAGAGAGTCATGGGGATGTACTAGGGAAAGGGAGAAGCTATTGGTCAATGTCCTTCTTCAGGCTCAGGGGATCTGGGCGGGTTCTGAGGAGATGAGGGGGCAGTCCTGTGATGTATTGTCTGTCTTGCAGCTCCCTCAGTGTGATTGGGACCTGGTATGTCACAGCTGTTGTCATCTTCAAATACATCTGGCCGGACAAGGAGATCAAGCCAGGGCAGATCCCCACAAGGTATGCAAGAGTGGGCTAATGCAGGCTCCTTTGGTAACTGGAGACGCCCATGATTCAGAATGGGGTCATGTTGATTCACATGTTCAGTTTGGGAGGTGAAGGGCTGGATGTCTCCCTAGATCTCACCCAGAGCAGCTGGCTGTGGTTAGCAGTGAAGTAGTCTGCTCTGCAGCTTATTTAACTGTCATAGGTTAGCTCCACAATTCTTTTCTGTTGAGTTCATGGGTCTCCAAGAGCTGATTGCTAGGACTGCCTGCAGACTTTGACAAATAGTGGTGCTTGGGCTTTGGTCATTTCTAAAGGGTTTGCCTTCTGACCGTAAAGGACAGAACCATTTTTATTAGTGTGTCAATTTATTGTTTGACTAAAGCTTCTTTGCTTTAATCTCTCTTAGAGAAAATAAAACAGCTATTTGTGTATACATATGAATTTGAACTACCTGAAAGGTGTCTCTGCTCAGGCATGGACAGGGAAACATGAAAGGGAATAGTAAGAAACTGGAGAGAACTTTATTAATTTGTTTTCGATCTCCCAATATGTCTTTGCCTGGGAGATTGTAGGGCAGGGACTGTCCTTGTTTTTGCTTCACAGAAATGCTGGTCCAGTCTACCGCCCCAAGTGCTGTACCTAGCTCACTCCTGTTAAAGTTGCTGGCTTGATTGTATTTTCCTCCTTCAAAGCTACTAGACAGTATTCCAACTGAAGATTAATTCTTATGTAATAAAGGGCATGGTCTGTCTGTCTGTCCATAATGCTCTTGGAGCACTCTGGTTAGTGAAACAACCAGTCAGAGTGCGGAGTGCTGCTGTGATGGTGGGGACAGAGCTGGGGTGTGAGGCCAACAGCGCTGGCCTCGCCCCCACTCCCACCCCTTCCGGCTCCATCCCCACCATCATGGCAGTACTCTGCTGCCTCCAAGGAGCAGGACTGGGGGGCAAGGCCAGC